GTTGTGCATATCCAAATTTGCAAAAAAAATAAATATTTGAATATATATAATAAAGAAACAAGTGTCACTTGGTGTAATCGTTAACAAAGTCACTTTGTATAACTTTCTATCAATAAGAAAATAAGTAGATAAGTGAGCAATCATGTAATCTATAATCATCTCCATATAAACAAAATTAGTTTAATTTATCTATTTTTTTAAAAAAAATTAAAATAATTGACGTATAATGCACAGGTGCACTAATTAGTATAACTTAAAAGAGGAATGCTACTTGATCATAATTTATCGACTTAATTATTTATAATCATTTGTTTGACAGTGAATTTTAGTATTTGTTGGGATTCATCATTAATTTAATAGTTATGATTGACTATATAAACAAATTATATCAATAAAATTAGGTTTAAATAGTATTATTGAACTTAAAAATCAAATTAAAATGGATTTCACTTTTTGAATCTCATTATTTATTAAAAAAAAAAAAAGACTCTCAAAGTTGATAATTATGCTAACCTCGATTTCCCCACCAAGATTTCATTTTATGGGGTGTAGACAAGGCAGGAAGACCATTGCTATCAGAGAATCTTTTAAGATTTGTCTTGATAATAATTTAATTACATGCAACGAACATGGAATTTTTATATGATTGGCTCTCTAAGCATTTCTGCCTAACCTATTAATTAGGGACGACTTTGACCTCCCATTTAGGGACGACTTTGACAATTCATATTTTACTAGTTGCTAAGAAATTTATTGAAGCACAAATAAAAAAAATGAAATTCAGCTGAAATGAATGAAAAAATTCATCGGTCCCTCTCCTCTTGCTAGAAAAAGTTGAAAGTTCAAGTCTGGTGGAGGCAAGTTGCACCGACTTTTGTTAGCCATTTAGTGAAAAATGTGATATATAACTTATCGATATTCACTATTTGAACTTCTCCAGCCTTCCCTATTAATTCATGAGTTGGGAGTACTTGTTTGTCCTTCCTCCTAAGGCTAATTAGAAAAGACTACAATTAGAAGTGGAGCTGAATGTTTCACACACAATCTGCTTTTTTCTATGTTCAAACATGCTACTTTTTCTAGAATCATTAATGACATAAAGCTCATATTTCCATAATTTCTACGTAGCTCACCAACCCAAAGAAATTTGTTTCATTTTCACATCTTCTTTCAGTGGGTTGCTTTCTCAAAGTAGTAACAATATTGGGGTCTATTGATATAATGATGTGAAAGCGACGTGATTCAATAGTATTATTATGAGTGGAATTTTTCTATTTTTTTCATTGAGACTCTATTATTTGACATATCATTGTGTTACTAAATTATGTCAATTTTTTAAATCCTGATAACATTATTCTTCTCGAAAATGGATCTTCCCCTTCAAGCAGCCAAATAATCACACAAGCTCCTCCTGAATTGTTCAAGGTCTCTTTGAGAAAGGTCTGATCACAAGAACGGCTTAATAGTTAGTTTGCCTACACCCAGCTGCAATGGCACGACTTGATTTAAACATTTTGACTCAATTGATTTCCGCGACACTCTAAGGCTTCGTTTGTTTAGTAAAAATGTGGTGAAAAAAGAAGGAAAAAAAAAATTAGTGTTGTGTTTGTTTAGGAAAAAATCAGAATTTTATTTTTTTCCCGTGACCTGATTTTCTCGTAAAAAATAGCATACTAAAAATTGGATTGGATGATTGACCTAATGTCACCTCAATGCTCAAACTCTAAGGTCTTGTTAAGAATAGGACATAGATAGTGAAATCTTGACTACATAATTCCATTCGGATGATTCTTTGAGGGAAAAAAACATCCTCTAATCAGCCCAAATTCAATGGATTTGGCTTCTTGCTTAAGCCTCCATTCCAAATCCGAAAAAAGGAAATCCCAAATTCAATTACTCCCATTGTTGTTAAGCCTCCATTCTTTTATTTTTTTCATCTTCAAGAATGGAGGCTTAACAACAATGGGAGTAATTGAATTCCAGTTTCCTTTTTTCGGGTTCTAGTTTCATAGGAGAATGTTGTTCAAAACTTGTGCCTATTTATTTTCTCGTATTTTGTAACTATATATTTGTTTATTTGCTCATGATTAGTCATTAAAATAGGTTGTCATATGCTTGAAAGAAAATAAATTATTGGATGCTTGAAAATTTTAACTCTAATAGACCTAATTACCTATGAAATCCCTGTCGTGCCTGCCTTTACTCCTATCATATGATCGAAAAGGAAAATTCTATTATTTCTTATTATTCCACACAAATATTAATTTTATAAAATAATTTAAAAAATACAAAATTTGTCCTAATAACATTATTTTGTTCAAGCGAAAGGTCATTTATTTCACACAGGACTTGTTTTGTTGTTGGATTAAATATGAATGAATTAGATAAAGTAATTTAGCCTAATATAATGCAGATGGACAAACGACAAGATTACATAGAGTATTTGAATAATATATAATTTTATCTAGTGTTTAGCAATACAATAAACGTTGGATAATACTTATTTAATCCAATCAACGTTTGTTACATTCATGATAATTTGATTTTATTAGTTGGGGGTTATAATATTAAATGTGTAAATAATACGTTTGAGTTGGATTATAATACCACCTCTCTTGGTAGTATCAAAATAATCTATCATATAAAAAATATATGATAAGTATAAATTTTGAAAATTAATATAATATTAAATTTATTTAGCGAATAAAGTATTGACCCGATTATATAAAAATAGTACAATTTAATATTGAATTTTTTTCATAATATGTCTATCAAACGAGTTCATATAGTATTTATGAAAAACTAAATTTATTTGTTAAAAATTCCATATGTGAGGCATTTTCTTGTAAAATTAATAATAAAAACTTTATATATATAAAAAAGATGAATGGTGAAGGAGACTTAATGTGGCTAAGGCAGCCTGTTCCCAAAGACCAGGAAATACACTGCCGTAAAGGTTGACCTGTCAAAAAGCTTCCCGATGTGTTTAGGTTAAAAGGATGTTGACAATTTAGCCACCACATAAATCTAAAAATTTCAAGGTATTTTATTAGTTTCGTCCTCTTTTTGTCTTCTGCATATTTCTTATGTTTAGCTTTGACGTGTGACTGGCCTTTCCTTGTCCTGAATAACTAATTGATAATAACATTACAAATTATGTTCTTTAACGAATTTCCATAAGGGTTTCTATCTCTTGAGGAGTGTTGCGGTATCAAAATGCAATTTTTTTATTTTTTTAATAATAATTAAAGATCATTCAAATCAAAATTAACAGCCTAAATTATTTTTCAGCACCGTTCTTTTGTGGTAATGTTATTGATTTAATTCATTATGATCTTTGGATTGATAGTAAGGTCCATTAAACATTGAAACTTGGCGTTGATCCAATGGTTGTGCTGAAGTCACGTCATTATATTAACAAATTAAATCAAATTTTTAGGTTAAAATAATATTACCCATAGTAAAAATATATTTAACATCTTAACGATACAAGAACAAATTCACGTGGACTTGGTCTCTAATGTGATGTGTTGACCAAGTACAAGTGGTTTTTGAAATAAAGAGTAGATTAAAGTAGACTTACTAGTTTTTTTTGTAATAAAGACTTTTATGAGATGCAGATAGAGATTTTAGTATATGAATAGCCACATCCAAGGGATAAGAAAAAAAACCGACAGAACCTAGAAAGAAACCAGGTTCTTTAATTCAAGTGCATCTATGATCCTGAGGTTGAAGCTTATGTGTGAATTTGAATTAACACTTGGTGCCGCAAAGCAGCTGGATGGAAGAATAAGAATACGGTTGATAATTGAATGGAGTTACTTGGGTTCGGTTTATTTTTTTAAATGAGTCGAGTTTGAACAATTTTTTATGTTCTTTTAAAAAAATTGAGTCTAAAAGCTCAATTTGTTTATATATAAAATAGTCAAAGTAGTTGGGACTGGCTTGGTTTTGGTTCAACTCGTTTTTTAAATAATCGAGTTTGAATAATTTTTGAACTCGTTTAGTTTAACATACTAGATTTGAGTTTGAATTCGAAAAGTTTGATTCAATTATCGGTCTAATTTAGAGTTAAAATTTTCATGCTATCTCAAAAGCTTTTGTACAGGAAAAGGGAAAAGACCAAATGTATTTATTCAATGTGGGTTGGTAAATGTTTTATTTTATTTGACTATCCAAAGGTATTTTTATTTAAAAAGTTTCAGTTAAATATTTTTGATATTTTTTGTAAAATATTTTTATTTCAAAATTCTTAATTAAATTATTTTTCTTTTGAAATATTTTTATTGGGTAATTATTTTAGGAATATTTTTTAAATTTTATAAGTCATTTTAAATGTATTTTATTTCTTGACCAGTCATTTTAAATATGACTCGTCAAGTAATTTGATGAGTTTGATACTTTTACTTGGATATTTCTCTTCGAGAAACTTATACTCGTTGATGAAAATTGATTGTGGGTTCTATCAAATATTAAAATTTGTTATTTATCCAGTGATACCAATAAAATTACATTATCAGATTAGCAAATAATATTAAATTTTGAATTTTGAATAGCATTACTCATTTCAAAAACCTAACCACCTACATTTAGGTGCGGGTAACTTTAGGGCCCTGAAGAACTATATTTTGGTGTACTTTAACCAGGCAAATAAATCTCCAATCTACAAGTCTAAGTATTATAAATATACCTGTTGAGAAAACTCCACTTTTTGCCTTATTCCCATGACCTCTTCAACAAATCAAAAAGATTTTAGTTGTTCTTTTGGGTCCCTTTTTTTGACAAAATGGTTCATGCCACAAGTCTTCCCACCATAATTAATTAATCAATCAAACATAAGGCCTATCTAGCTTTAATCTGCATATTTTTCTTTGAGACGTAGAAATTCCATGCAATTGGGTCTTCGTGTTAGGTAACCTGCCGAGGCCAATTACCAAGTGGCACTCTGCATGAACAACTCTATAAATAGTACCACAACTTTCCACATCCTGTGCACCACACACTCCTCTCTAGTACTTGTACTAAGGTCATAGTTATGGCTTCATTTTCTTCTTCTGCTAAGGTCATTGTCACTTTGGCTTTCCTTGTGCTCTTCATTGGCAGCTCCTCCGCTCAACTTTCGACTAATTTTTACTCCCAGTCTTGTCCGAGGCTTTTCCCCACTGTGAAATCTGCTGTGCAATCCGCAATATCAAAAGAAGCACGGATTGGCGCCTCTATTCTGCGCTTATTTTTTCACGATTGTTTTGTTAATGTAATTTCATTTTTTCATGTTTTCTTTAGAATCTAGCTTCTTACAAGTTTTCCTTGTTCTTTATGCTGGTCAGAGGGTCCATATAACGACCATATAAGTTAGAATATTGTAGGTGAACGACCTTTTCCTTGTCGGTCACAAGTGATTGTGAAAGGCCAAGGCAAAATGAGCCTTGGTCCATGCTTTAGGATTATAGCTCTAAACCAAGAAAACAAAGGAGAGAGAAGTAATGGCGTAGGTTACTTAAGTATAGTGCACTTAATCTTAGCTGAGGCAGAAATATATGGGTGAGTAAAGCATAGGTCCCAAGGCGCTCATAAATCCTCCAAAAATTAGTTTGCCATGATACATGGTTCGGAAAGAAAGATAGGTGCTACTATCTCAAGGTCTTAAGTTTGAGTATTTAGAAAGACGTCTTGGTTAATCCCATACCTATGATTTTCGGATGATTATCAATTATTTAACACATAAATAAATCTCTATAAGTCATTTCGGGTTTTGTTGACATGGCTAGGGCCTAAAGACACATAATCTTTGTAGTAGTGGTCTTTATATATCATATTAACATCTACTAGTTTAATGGGACACTTCTCTAATTTTTCCTTTGGGATTCTCAGGGTTGCGATGGATCACTCCTCCTCGACGACACATCTTCTTTTACAGGAGAAAAGAGGGCAGGTCCAAATGTCAATTCTGCTCGAGGATTTGATGTGGTTGACAACATAAAGTCTGCGGTAGAGAATGTGTGCCCCGGTGTGGTCTCTTGTGCTGATATATTGGCTATTGCTACCAGAGATTCTGTTGTTACTGTAAGTCCGAACAAATTGTAATTGTGACTTCAAAACACATACTTGACGCCAAGCTAATAATTTAATGTACATATGGTTTTTTTTTGTGTGTGTTCTAATGAAGCTTGGAGGGCCTAGTTGGAATGTAAAACTTGGAAGAAGAGATGCCAGAACAGCAAGCCAGGCTGCTGCCAATAGAAGCATTCCGCCTCCAACTTCTAATTTGAATGCCCTCATTTCTAGTTTCAGTGCCGTTGGCCTTTCCACCAGGGACATGGTTGCCTTATCTGGTTTTCTCTCTCTCTCTCTCTCTCTCTCTCTCTCTCTCTCTCTCTGTGGCCCATTTTTTAGTTTTCTTTTTGCTGGAGAAATTAAGGTCATGTTCATGTTAAATCATTGAGCAATACTATGTTATAGGGACCTAATTCAATACAGTTATTGGATTATTTATAAGTTCTAATGTTAGATGGATTCCACTTTCAATTCAATCATTACATTGAATTGGGTCTCTAACTTAGATCCCCAAATTTGGTTCAAATAACATTATCCTAAACCATTAGGTGCTCTAAAAGTTTTAGCTTACAAAGTGATACAACATAAATATTTATCTAATATTCTCTGTCACATAGGACCCTGTGTTTGTATTGTGTAGCAAGGGAGGGAGCTTAGCTCGACTTGAACTCAATGCCTCTTTAAGTTTTGATACTATGCTAAGCTACTAACTGTTATATATACGTAGCGAGCTGGCCCCAAAAGTTAGTAAGGAATGAGTTTCTCTTGGACTTCACTAAAGAAGAAAACCCTTATATGCTCTTTCAAGTAGGAAGGTGTTCCAGGGGAGTAGGTGACTGTCTATTACCATCCAAGTGCATGTTATTCTCTTGTTGTTCGTGCATATTAGACTTTCAAAGACTTGATGATAAAGGATCTCACTAAGTTAATTCATAAAAAATCTCGAGTCAGTCCTTTTGTCATTACTTGGTTCAAGCCTATATTCTCATTTTTGAACTTGTTTCAATCTTGTCTTGTGACTCTAAAAAACTAGGTTCTCACACAATTGGACAAGCAAGGTGCACTAATTTCAGAGCTCGCATATATAACGAAACCAACTTGGACAGTTCATTAGCTCAAACAAGGCAAGGCAACTGCCCAAGGATCGCTGGCTCAGGTGACAACAATTTGGCACCTCTAGACCTCCAAACTCCTACTACTTTCGAGAATAACTATTACAAGAACCTTGTCAACCAACGGGGACTACTTCACTCCGATCAGCAACTCTTTAACGGTGGATCGACCGATTCACTTGTGAGGACATACAGCAGCAATCCAAGCACCTTCAATTCTGATTTTGTTGCGGCCATGATCAAGATGGGAGATATTAAGCCTCTCACTGGATCAAATGGAGAAATAAGGAAGAATTGTAGGAGGAGGAATTAAAAGGTCATGTTTTTGCTTTCTACTGCAGGAAGCAAGTGTGTTTTAATTTTAAATGCTTTGTTTGCAATTTTTTCCTTTTTTTTTTTTGGGAGGTGGCATTGTCATGACCATGTCAAAGGATTGCTCATTGAATAGGGCAAATGTGTACTTGATTAGAGTTGTAGATTTTCCAAGTAAATCTTAGTTAGATTTTCTTGGAAAATCCTAAATAAATACCCCTTTTTATTCTAGATATATGCCAGTTTAGGCTTTTTCTTTTTTCCTCTTGTGTGCTTTTGGAATTTGGATACTTGGTGCCATGACATGATCATCAAGCTCTAATGTGCTCAATCACGCCTAATAACTACGCAGCAATTTTTTTTTATCCAGTGAAAGAATTCCAGTGAACGATTAAGTTTTGTGTAAATTGATGTGACAGAGAAAAACAAATGTTGAATTTAACTTAATTCCATGAAATTTAGTTGTAAGCGATACAAATCTAATCTTTTTCTGGTACTCAACATAAAGCACAACAGAGAGATTGCGTGGGGAGAGTCGATCTTTGAGTTCGTCTATTAGAAGAGTTGATGACACTTGAGCACAAGGTGTAGAAACGTTTGTCGCTCACTCCAGATCAAAGTAAAGGGATTGCAAAAATTTTACAGCAACCCTCATAAAGCATAGAACCATTCAATCTTTGTCACGTTATTAGATATTCTTACGCGATAGTTGATTTTATCAGACAAAAAGTTATGAAAATGCCAAAAAAATACAATATTTAGCGTCAAAGTAGAGATTTTCTGTGCCAATTTTTAGGCTCCTTGCATGCTACATATTGAAAAATCATCTTGTGCTAATTGATCCATGGACTTTGTTCAAGGTGCACATTGGAACAATGATTTTATGAGGGCCGAACACTAGCCATTCCTCTAGGAGACCAATGCAAAACCGTTGAATTCCTATGAATTAAGCAGACTTTAATAGAGCAGAGTCAAACATACCAACTAGGGAGTTTCTTCTATATTGCAAAACTCGATGCCTGCCCATGAATGTGGCACTACGAGCCTACCCTTGTCAAATGTAGGCTAGATAACCCGAGTTGAGGGTGACAAATTTCGGTACGATATAGATGTGACAGAAATTGACATCTGTTACTAGAAATTATACTAAAGTTGGATTTGTTCAAACATGAATAATTTGACATTGACCCGATACACATTTTACTAGTACTATATGAATAGAATGCCATATTAATTGTAATTTTGGTTTGATATTGGCATAATCCTTGTAAAATGAGGGGATTTTTTAATATTTTTTTTAATTTTTGCTATAATATAAATTTAGTGAATTTTTAATTCAAGACAGAAAAAATTGTGTCGTAGGTGTTTTTTTTGAAAGATAATTGGATTTTTGATTTGTAGGTTGTACAAATTACTTTGAACATGACATCATAATAACAAGTTTAATTAGTGCCAGAACATCTCACATAATTAATTAAACAAGTTAGATTTAAGGTTAATTATTAGGGTAAATTACATTTATACCCCTTAAAATTGATCACTTAATCAAGTAAGTCTCCTCATATTTGACAAATAACATTGAAATCCCTTAAAGTTTGTGTGCTTGCAACACTTACACTCCTGTTGTCATAGTCCGTTTAAAACACTGTCAAAAAACTATGTGATGTTAGTCTAGTTTTAACAGAAAATTTCCAAATTATCCATTGCAAGACCCGTGAAACAAAACCTTTTTGATAAGGAAGAATCCTCTTCGGATTCTTTCCTTGATCTTAGATGAATTTATCTTGTACATATCTTTCCTTTCCTAGTTTACAGGATAAATCTCAACTGCATATATTTTGATTAATTTGTTTCCTATTATATAGGATCTGTCATTTGTAAATACATTATATATAATGAAACCGATAGCCTCAATATTTTCATGGAGGATTTCAGCCACATTCTACACAGGTCTTTGAACCTCTTTACTTTTCATCCATTATAAAATCTTTTCATTCAGTTAAATATTTTTGTTATTTTTTGTAAAATATTTTTATTTCAAAATTCTTAATTAAATTATTTTTCTTTTGAATATTTTTCCTCGGTAATTATTTTAGGAATATTTTTAAAATTTTATAACTTATTTTAAACTTAATTTATTCCTTCCATGACTCAGTCAAGTAATTTGATGAGTTTGAGACCTTTATGTGGATATTTTTCTTCGAGAGACATATACTCATTGATAAATATTGATTGTGACCCGATCAAATATTAGAACTTATTCTTCACCCAATTATTCCAATAAAATTATATCATCAGGTCAACTAATATGATCAAATTTTTAGGTTTAAATAACATCACTCTTTTCAAAAACTTAACCAACTTCATTTAGGTGCCCGTAACTTTAAGGCCACTTTTTTTTTTTTTTGTCGAAACTTTAAGGCCACTTGAAGAACTATATTTAACAAAGCAAATAAAGGTCCAATCTTCAAGTAAAAGTATATTTACTATAATACCTGTTCAGAAAACTCCACTTTTGCTTTATTCCCATGACCTCTTCAACAAATCAAAAAGATTTTAGTTGTTCTTTTGGGTCCCTTTTTTTGACAAAAGGCTCATGCCACCAGCTTCCCACCATAGTTAATCAACCAAACATAAGGCCTATCTAGCTTTAATCTGCATATTTTTCTTTGACGAATCAATCAAATCCTAATTTCTTTCTTAATTTTCCGTCTTTGAGACTTAAAAATTCCATTCGATTGAGTCTTCGTGTTAGGTAACCTGCCGAGGCCAATTACCTAGAGGCATTCTGCTTGAACAGCTCTATAAATACCACAACTTTCCACACCCTTTGCACCACACACTCCTCTCTAGTACTTGTACTAAGTTCATAGTTATGGCTTCATTTTCTTCTTCTGCTAAGGTCATTGTGACTTTGGCTTTCTTTGTGCTCTTCATTGGCAGCTCCTCGGCTCAACTTTCGACTAATTTTTACTCCCAATCTTGTCCGAGGCTTTTCCCCCCTGTGAAATCTGTTGTGCAATCTGCAATATCAAAAGAAGCGCGGATTGGTGCCTCTATTCTGCGCTTATTTTTTCACGATTGTTTTGTGAATGTAATTTCATTTTTTCGTGTTTTCTTTAGAACCTAGTTTCTTATAAGTTTTGTTTGTTCTTTATGTTGGTCAGAGGGTCCATATAATGTCCATGTAAGTTAGAATATTGTAGGTGAACGACCTCTTCCTTGTCGGTCACAAGTGTTTGTGAAAGGCCAAAGCAAAATGAGCTTTGGTTCATGCTTTAGGATTATATCTCTAAACCAAGAAAACAAAGAAGAGAGAAGTAATGGCATATGTTACTTAAGTATAGTGCACTTAATCTTAGCCAAGGCAGAAATATATGCGTAAGTAAAGCATAGGTCCAAAGGCGCTCATAAATCCTCCAAAAATTAGTTTGCCATGAAACATGGTTCAGAAAGAAAGATAAGTGCTACTATCTCAAGGTCTTAAATTTGAGTATTTAGAAAGCGTCTTGGTTAATCCCATGCCTATGATTTTCGGATGACTATCAATTATTTAACATACAAATAAATCTCTAAAAGTCATTTCGGGTTTTATAGCCATAGCTAGGGCCTAGGGATAGCCGGATAGATAATCTTTGTAGTGGTGGTCCTTATATATCATATTAACGTCTACTGGTTTAATGGGTCACTTCTCTAATTTTTCCTTTGGGATGCCCAGGGTTGCGATGGATCACTCCTCCTCGACGACACATCTTCTTTTACAGGAGAAAAGAGGGCAGCTCCAAATGTCAATTCTGTTCGAGGATTTGATGTGGTTGACAACATAAAGTCCGCGGTAGAGAATGTGTGCCCCGGTGTGGTCTCTTGTGCTGATATATTGGCTATTGCTTCCAGAGATTCTGTTGTTACTGTAAGTCCAAACAAATTGTAATTGTGACTTCAAAATACATACTTGATGCCAAGCTAATAATTTAATGTACATATGGTTTTTTTTTTTTTTTGGTGTTCTAATGAAGCTTGGAGGGCCTAGTTGGAATGTAAAACTTGGAAGAAGAGATGCCAGAACAGCAAGCCAGGCTGCTGCCAATAGAAGCATTCCGCCTCCAACTTTTAATTTGAATGCCCTCATTTCTAGTTTCAGTGCCGTTGGCCTTTCCACCAGGGACATGGTTGCCTTATCGGGTTTCCCTCTCTCTCTCTCTCTGGCCCATTTTTTAGTCTTCTTTTTGCTGGAGAAAATATGGTCATGTTCATGTTAAATCATCGAGCAGTACTATGTTATAAAGACCTAATTCAATATAGTTATTAGATTATTTATAAGTTTTAATGTTAGATATGTCCCATTTTCTATTCAATCATTACATTGAATTAGGTCTCCAAATTAGTTTCAAATAACATTATCCTATAGCATCAGATGCTGTAAAAGTTTAAGCTTATGAAGTGATACAACATAAATATTTATCTAATATTCTCCGTCACGTACGACCTGTGTTTGTATTGTGTAGTGCGGGAGGGAGCTTAGCTCGACTTGAACTCAATGCCTCTAAGTTTTGATACTATGCTAAACTACTAACTGTTATATATATGTAGCAAGCTGGATCCAAAAGGTCGTAAGATATGAGTTTTTGTCGGACTTCACTCAAGAAGAAAACCCTTATATGCTCTTTCAAGTGGGAAGGTGTTTGAGGGGAGTAGGAGGCTGTCTATTACTATCCAAGTGCATGTCATTCTCTTGTTGTTCATGCATATTAGACTTCCAAAGACTTGATGATAGAGGATCTTACTAAGTCAATTCATTAAAAATCTCGAGTCAAACCTTTTATCATTACTTCAAGCCTATATTCTCATTTTTGAACTTGTTTCAATCTTGTCTTGTGACTCAAAAAACTAGGTTCTCACACAATTGGACAAGCAAGGTGCACTAATTTCAGAGCTCGCATATATAACGAAACCAACTTGGACAGTTCATTAGCACAAACAAGGCAAGGTAACTGCCCAAGGACCGCTGGCTCAGGTGACAACAATTTGGCACCTCTAGACCTCCAAACTCCTACTACTTTCGAGAATAACTATTACAAGAACCTTGTCAACCGACGGGGACTGCTGCACTCTGATCAGCAACTCTTTAACGGTGGATCGACCGATTCAATTGTGATGACATACAGCAGCAATCCAAACACTTTCAATTCTGATTTTGTCGCGGCCATGATCAAGATGGGAGATATAAAGCCTCTCACTGGAACAAATGGAGAAATAAGGAAGAATTGTAGGAGGAGGAATTCAAAGCTTTCTACTGCATGAAATAAGTGTGTTTTAAATGCTTTGTTTGCAATTCCCCTCCCCCCCCCTTTTTTTGGGTGGAGATGGCATTGTCATGACCATGTCAAAAGAATGCTCATAGAATAGGGCATATATGTACTTGATTAGAGTTGTAGATTTTCCAAGTAAATCTTAGTTAGATTTTCTGGGAAAATCCTAGATAAATACCCCTTTTATTTTAGATATATGCCAATTTAGACTTTTTCTTTTTTCCTCTTGTGTGCTTTTGGACTTTGGATACTTGGTGCCATGACATGATCATCAAGCTCTAAGGAGCTCAATCATGCCTAATAATCACGTAGCAATTTCTTTTATCGGACAAACAAACTCCATTGAACAATTAAGTTTTGTGTAAATTGAGGTGATAGAAAAAAACAAATGTTGAATTTAACTTATTCCATGAAATATAAATGTAAGCTATATATAAATCTAATCTTTTCCCATGCTCAACATAAAGCACAACAGAGAGATTGCATGAGGAGAGTCAATCTTTGAGTTCATCTATCAAAAAACTTGGCGACACTTAAGCACAAAGTGTAAAAACGTTTGTTGTTGACTGTCACACTCCCACCCCATATCACATCGGGTGGGCGGTGGACTGGCCATTAAGGCCTTAACCAACCAACTAAACCTGTGTATAATAAATACAAAATACAGTAGAGGACAAATAATAAAGTGATTCATTTCATCGACCTAATGAATAGCATAGGAATAAACTAAACACCACTAATTTCATTATTAAACTCATATAAAACAATAATTAAACCATAAGGTTCACTACTCTAAATATAAACAATATTGTTCCCAAAACAATTAAACATTTGTCTCAAAACTATAAAAGACTTTTATTCTTGAAGACGTACAATAAAATAAATATTTAATTCCTCTAATACCTTATCTATCTGTGGACTTACTCCTCACTCTGATCCTCACCTGAAAAATGTTAAATGTTTTGATTAGCACAATGGCCCGTGAATAACAACCACCTCTAATGAGATGTGAAAATAAATCTCACAGTTTATATACAAAAATAAATTTTAATACATACATAAGTACAATAAATTGTACCTCAATTTTTCCCACATAATCATGTAAACAAAATGAACTTATGATCATAAATAATTTTATAAATGAAAAGACATTTATAACTCAAAACATTCACACACAAATTTAGTTTGAAATATATTTGTCAAATTATGTTTCTTACCAGTAGTCTGATAACTGGCTCAATCTCTTGTTACCACTAGCCTAGTAATTGACTCAATCTCTTGTCGTCACTAGCCTAATTACTAGTCCAGTCTCTTGTTACCACGTAGACCTAGTAATCCTAGTTCCCGTCTCATAAACTTGATTTTCACATAAACCAAAACTGTACTTTTAGTCCAAATACACAAAAAATTTCCTTTCATTACCAAAGCAATGATATAAAATCATCTCACAAATTTTCCAAAAGTCACATGCAGAACAGTTCATAATTTCAAAACATTTAATTACAACCCTAAACATCAACATATATTATAAATATATATATAAAATATTCACACGCACGCACCCACACATTGAATATATAAAATCTTTTCAAAAGAAGTAGTAAACTACTCACCTTGATTCCTAAAATTCAATTCAAATCCCTCTTTCTCAATCTCTATACAATTATCACATAATCCAAAATAACATATTACAATCAATCTCTATTCCTAATTTCGTGATTTTATGATTATATATTTAATTTACGTACTTTCTACCAATTGATATATAGTTAATATATATCATTTACATATTAATATCCTTTCTAATGCGGGATAATAGGATATAGAAGTATTCTAGGCTATTTAGAAAAAGTTTCTAAAATTTTGAGGTCAAATCATAATTTTTAAAACTTTTGAGATCAAAGTATAATTTATTTGAAAAACAAATTTTCTACTTTCAGAACTGCCATAAATTTTTCAAAATTCTATTCTTCCAACTTATCAAATAAAACAGTGATTAAAATTAAATTTCAAAGAACATATGGGTCAAACTAAAATTCTTGAAGGTCAAAGGGATAAATTATACAATTTCAAGACTTTGTCTTTTTCGATCAACGAAATCATCCAGCTTGTATACTCTACAAGTTCAAATCAAATCTCTTTTTCCTTTTTTTTTTTTTTCTTCCAAGCACATTGATTAAACTCAATCAATTTCAAACAACTATAAACTTAAAGTTCAACCTAATAACTTCAATAATCAACAAGAAATTATATATATGTATATATGTGTGTGTGTATTTGTATACATGTATACAGACACCAACATTATAAACTCTACACCTTCTAATTGAATAAAAATATAAAACTCATAAGAAAAGTACTTAATTAATACTTTTAATGAAATCAACCCTTTTGTTTTCTTTTTTGTTCTTCTTTTCCCCTTCACTCTCTCTCTCTCTCTCTCGCTTGTGTGTGTATCTATATATATTTCTTTGTTTGCTGTCTTTTAGAATTTCCAATCTAACAATATTATCTTATTTAAAACATATGTGAATAGTCGGCTGAGAAGAACCCTGACCCTATATCTCTCTCAAATGTAAAGGGTTGTTTGGGTAATTGCGTGTGCAGAGAAGGTAAGGGTGGGAGAAGCCATGAACTGGCCTTTACTCACGAAGAAGATCGTAAGCCATCAAAATCTCTGTCAAGGTTGTGTAAGAGTTGTATGGATTTCTCTTTTGCCAAACTGTGAAGAATCATGTGGATGGATACAAAGGGAACACACAATCGGAGAATTTGATCGTTCATTGTTGACAACTGGATTTAGCTTCTACCGGAAGAAGTGATTCATAGTAAATGTCCTTTGTGTCATCATTTTCTCTATTTGTATGTTATGAACACATGGTTCTCTATTTGCACATAGTTCTTCTTGGGAATCATCTTGTGATTCCTAGGATTTTATTTGTGCGTATATGACTCTATTACCCTTTTTGCTTGAGCCTTCTCCAAAACACTCAATGGAGTCGTGCTCCAATGTTAAGGATGGCATTCACTCTTGAATCAATATGAAATTATGGAGGAAAAAAAATTTGGGGAAAGGCGAAAAAAAAAAAAATAGTCCTCTAAGACAAGGCTTTTATTAGAGACACATTAGTCTTCTTTTAATTATTTTTATCCTTATTTATATATATAATTATTCTTAAGTTGTCAATGCATTAAAATAAAATAAATTTTTTTTATGGGTAATTACATTGACTCCGAATCAAAGTAAAGGGATTGCAAAAATTTTACAACAATCCTCAAAAAGCATAGAACCATTCAATTTTCATCACGTTATTAGATATTCATTCTTATGCGGTAGTTAATTTTATTAGATTGAAAGTTACGAAAATGTCAAAAAAAAAATGCAATAATTAGCATCAAAAGTAGAGATTCTCTATACCAATTTTTGTGCCCCCATCGTGCTACAAATTGAAATATCATTTTGTGCTAATTGATCCATGGACTTTGTTCAAGGTGCACATTGGATTGGGTTGTTCAAGAGCCATTCCTCTAGGAACCCAATGCAAAACCAACCAAAACAAGTTTGGGATTGGGTTGAATTCCTATGAATTAAGCAGACTTCAATAGAGCACAGTCAAAACAGACCAACTGGGGAGTTCCTTCCATGTTGCAAAACTCGAAGCCTGCCCATGAATATGGCTCTACGAGCGTACCCTTGTCAAATCTAGGCTAGATAACCCGAGTTGAGGGTTACAAATTTCCATGGATGTGACATAAAATTGATTGATTAGGGTCTATTAATTCTTGACACAAACATGAAAATGAAACTACCTTTTGTCACGATATACTCAACTTGGATTTGTCCAAACATGAATGATTTGAAGTTGACCCAATACACATTTTACTGGTACTATATGAATATAATGTCATATTAATTGTAATTTTGGTTCGATATTGACATAATCCTTGTAAAATGAGGGGAATTTTTTTATTTTTTTTTAGTTTTTGCTATAGTATAAATTTAGTGAATTTTTAATTCAAGACAAAACCGTGCCGTAGGTTTTTCTGGAAAGATAACTGAATTTTAGTCTTGGATTTTTTATTTGCAGATTGTACAAATTACTCTGAACACGACATTATAATTACAAGTTTAATTAGTGGTAGAACATTTGACATAATTAATTAAACGTGTTAGATTTAAGATTAATTATTATTCAACGCAACACAACTCAACACATATATGACTCAACACGACACAACTACTTACCTCAAAATCTTAGAGCAATGTTATTGGGACTTAATTTATTGACTTAATTTGCTGACTTAATTCACTATGATTCTTGAATTGACTGTGGACTGCATCAAACATTGAAATTTGATGTTGATTCAATGGTTCTACTGAAACCACATTATTATGTCAGTAAATTAGATCAAATTTTTAAATTTAAATAAGATTACTCAAAATCTTATAATCATGATGTGGATGTGCAAAGTGAAATATTAGGTCAGAAGAGGACTTGGAAATAGACATGAAAGCCAAAGTACATCTCGTGAGTTTAAGTATGCCCGTAAGGCTGGAACTCAATTCAAGAGGTAAGCTTGTATGTGCATCTCCCTCAATAGGAAAAGTGCAACAATTAACATTCCTTCTTGAAGTTCCATTAACCCATCTTCTAAGTTTAGAATGCACATGAATATATGTATGTTTGTTTGTGGAATCAACTAGAAATGATCAAATCATCGCCTAAATTTGTCTCCATTTGTGATCCAAAGGCAATCCAAATTTAACATGTCAATACATAAATTTTGACAGGATTTTAGGCGTCTCAACAGCCCCCAAACTGACATGTGAATTGTCTTAGTTGTTGTGAAACTCAAAAGGCGCCAAAAAATGGCACCGATAAGATACTACTCAGAGGAGCCAAACGAACAGACTGACACCAGCATTTGAGGAGATATGACAGCTCATTAATTAGGATTTGAGTGATTGTGACAAGGCTATTAATGAGTCTTTGCATTCTCGAGACCCAAACCAACAATCATAATTGTGAAGCATTAATGATCATTACGTCGACAAGATGTCCTCGGTGTACCCCGAGATATTATTCTCCGAGCATTTAACACTCGAGAGAAGGTGTCAGATGTCGATCAGATAGACTTAAATGACCGAAGATAGAGTCATAAGTGCTCGGTATGCCCCGATGAGTCATCCTATTGCCCGAGTGAAATAAGTCACGAGAATCTGAGTGGAGAGCATTCATTACGCACGAATAAGAGTGTAAGTCATTAAATATTGATATGAGACTCCCAACCCTTGCACTTATTATTGGTCTAGGTATAAATATCCCATGGAAATATGAATAAATGTACAAAAACTAAACTGAGAAAATAAAAATATTGTGCTAAAGCTTTCAAACTTCTATTGACTTAAACTTTTGAGGGGATAAGCCGAGTGTTCACTCGACCTCTTTTCTAATCTCTTTTGGTTGTTTCAGGTTCGCTATCAAGAGGAACGCTATTCTTATTCATTGTAAAAAATCTACCGTGCAAATCTCAACATCAAAAACATGATGATTATAGGATGATAATGCAATACTAAAAGTTTAGGATTAATAACCATGAAGTTGTTGATGATTGAAATCCAAGAGTGGGTATATGGGCAAATAATGTCGAAAATTATGTCTGTACTAAGTACACAACTCGCAGTATGCAATTAGCCAGGACCAAGTGGAATAAGGGCCTTCTAATGATGATGATAACAAAGAATATTGAAAAAGTGAATATCTTGGTTTACCAAACCTTGGTTTTGGAAAAACCAAAAGCCAATATTCCATAGTCCACACCCATAAACTTGCTAAATGATGTACAAGAAATGAACAATATAGAGGTACTTTTAAGCCACACCCAGGCCTACAATGGACAACAATGCCTTCTTCACATTCTTATTCCATCTTGTCCTCGAGACTTCTTGGAACTTCTATCCCTACCAGCAAAGCACAAAGTTGAAGAAGGTGAGCCATGAGCCTGCACCTGCAGCTCATCATCATCCTCACTGTACCCAAAATCAACGGTTGATTTTGAACGAGGGAGACTTTTTTTTCTATAAATAAACGAGTTCATTGGCGTTGATGGTACTGAATACGACGATGAAGACGACGAAGATATAGAATAGGATGAAAACGATGGAGAAACATGGTCTTTTCTCGAAGCCAGCCGATGAAAAATGGAGTGAAAGTATTTGGCTTTTGTGTGCTTTTTCATTGACTTGACTTGGGGACTAGAAGAAGATTGATATGAAGGTGGAGGTGTGAGTGGAGGGAGAGAGGTATCGGAAAATCTATGTTTAGGTGTACCTGGTTGTGATTCCCACATGAATGGAACAGCACCAGAGGCTCCTCCATAGTACAAAACTCTGAAAGATGACTCATTCTTAGAGTGTTCCTTGGACAAAAGCCTAGAAAAAAACTTGTCTTCCTGCTTAATTTGAAGGAATTTCTGGGGAAGATCATGGCTTCCACTGTGCATTTTGGTTTTCTGTGATATTTTGGTTTTTGGGTTTGCCTTGCTTTGAGGTTTTGATGATTTGAAGGTGAAGTAGATGAGAAGAAAAGAGAGCTAAGTTCGGTGGGGGCTCTGGGGATTGGGTGGTTTAGTTAGAGTTCCATACTTTCTAGGGTTAGTAAATATACATAGCAGCACAGAGCAAGCACGCACATATCGATTTCAGGATTTGTCTCGAGATGTTACTTGAACCATGTTTACATCAAATCACATGTAACATCAATGATAGACTGCTTTTACTGGTTTTGAAAATAGTTTCTGCCCGAGGTAAGACTGCTTAAATTTGATCATCCCAAAGGCCAAAACGAAAATCTCATTCCCTAAATTACATTTTTTTTTACATTAACCCATCGGTTAATATATATATATATATATATATATATATATATATATATATATATATTATAGGTAATCCGTGTCTGAAAGTACAATATAATATAAATAATTTTGAGAAAAATATTAGTAGCTGTTGAATGAATCTATTTATGACTATCGATGGACTTATTGAAATCCGTTCTATTTTATATTATAAATTTTTTTATAGTTTAACGGTCAGAAGTATTCAGGTGAGCTTACATGCATTTCGATTAATTTCTTCTTCAGTTTAGTCAAAAACAAGTCATCTACATTGGAATTGGGGTATTCATGAGAAATAAATACTTCATGATCTAGTTCCATAAGATTGTTAAGATTCAAACTCATGACGTCTGGATTTACAGTTCATCTATATTTACTACTTGAACTATCATTATACTTATTAGTTAATATATGCATATTAATTTGACTAGAGATCATGAGTCAAGATTTCCCTTAATGCTAAATTATCCGCTAACAATACAATGAATCTCACTTTAGCGTTGAGGGATTGACGAAAATTGTTAATAAAAAATATTATGTAATTCAAATTTACAATATAAATTTATATTTTAAATGAAAGGAGGTCATCGGATGAGTATGTTGATAGAGCATTGCTCATCGTTAATGGAGCGAATTTGGATTGGAAGATGATCCAAGTGTGGGTAAATGCAATTATCAACAGTATATCTATTTTTGACCATATAATTAAGATTCAATATGACTGGCCGGTAGCTATGTGCTTCACGTATTAAATTTAGGGACCCGACTACGTTACATTCACACGCTTTTCGGTAGACGATGATAAATATATGGACGTGCGTCAATTTGGATCGTCATTTATTTATGTTGTTCATAAAGAACAGTGCAGTTGAGAATTTGAGTGATTTTAGTTATAGGGTAAAGGTACTATAATAATAAATGAGAACTGGGCGTGGTCCATGACTCCATGAAAAGATGTTTTCATGGTTGGGATTGATCAATTCTACCATCCTTGTAATACTACCATGTCGTATGGTCCCTCTGCTCTCATTGGTCCACATCAGCACGATGCTGAATTGGACCAATCAATTGTTGGGACACCACAAGCAACCATGAACTTGAAGATAGCATATGGTATTTATTCTGTCGCTTAACAATTCAGGCTCATTAAATTTGTGGGTTTGATTTGACCGAACAAAAAAAAAATGTTGGAAGTTTGATCTAAATAATACGGATGACTTATAAATTCAAACGTCTTGAATTTGAATTTTGGTTATTTTTAGGGATCATACAAAAATAAATTTATTTATCATGAATATTCTAATTTCAGTATAATAATTTGTTTTTAATTAGACCTTAGAGAAAATTAATTAAAGTGCCCGTAGATTAATCCGAACACCCTCACCGTTAAACTGGAAAAAAAATTAGTTTAAGACTCAATTTTGTTTGTGAGAGAAGAAAAATCGTACCAAACACATGATACTTGAATTATTGCATATAATACAAATTATGAATTCAATAGGCCCAATACAATGTAAGTATTATACAATGCTCAAGAATACTGGTATTATATAATATTTTTTATATCCAATATAATATATTCCTTGAACAAAATTATTTAGATGTCTAATTGGGGGAATAATTTTAATCATATTTGAATTAGTAGGGGGTGTAGGTTTAATATTTTAAATATGAAAGAGTTTCAAGCAATTAAGTGATAAACATGTGAGGGTCTAAGTATAATTTATTCATTTAGTTTTACAGGATTGTTAAATTTAGGTGCACATTTTTATAAATTTATATTTTTTAAAGTACAAATTAAAATTTGAAAAATCTTTCAAAATTGAATTTGCAATTAACCCTAAATTAAATACCTCATACAAGACTCTGAACTTAAAATATAGAGCAATAAATGGCTCTCAATTACATTGAACTTTTAACAGTTTTGGACGGACCAATGCGTTAATACATGGTGAGGTGAGGTGAAGTATATACCCTTTGTGGATATGAGAGCATCAACTGTCCAGCGACCAACTACTCCTCACCAATTCCTCAGCTCTAGCTGTGTAAGTCTCTAGGGGTCCACTAATTTATACCTCTGAATTTCTCTGCAACTGTTCAGAAGATAAATAAATAACTATACCTTTTTTTTTATGTAGCAGTTCTGGTAGTCATGGAATACAAACAATTGTTTGAGCCATAAGTTTGCAGGAAGTTCACATGACATGATGCTTTAGAGAGATGTTATTGTCTATCTCTATACTGAAATAAAGCAAACAAAAAAGAACACAAAATGGATGTAAATATTTTACAAGTTTCCATTAATAACAGTATTAGTATCCTTTTGGTGAGGTTGATTTCCGAATTTGAATATAAGATCGGTAAATTTTGCATAGAGTATCAAAATATGACACAATCTGTTAACACGTTTCGAAATTTAAGGGTTTGAACCTTCCTTATATGACGCAGTTAATAAACGGATTGGGTATTGGTGAAATCAATAAAAAAAAATATTTAAAGCGACTCTTTATATATTTGTTATATATGATTCATACACAATAATACGAATTCAATATGATATGATTCGTTAAATATCAATTAATAATTAAATCGAGTATAAGTAAAGTATTTTTTTTACATGAACACGTTAAATCCTAACATGAATCTGCTTCATCTGACACAGTTGATAGGACTAATTATGCCAATGAATACTAATATGACTTCCTTTGGTTTTAAGTTTAACCATTAATGTTGGGTGCAAATGGTACGCAGAGCAGAGCAATGAATGCACAAGCTCCAGTAAGTTCTTAATTAAATAGCTCACCATAGGTTGGTAGCATTTAAGAATTGTCTTAAAAAAACAAAAGAAAAAAAAAGGGAATTGTCGCTAGAGCATAAATAGACGACCCATCTACAAACAGTGGCAGTTAATTACTTTAGCTCTGAAACTGAAGACTACTTAATGTTCATCAATAAAATCCTGCTGGTGTTTATTACATTCATACAGTGAAGACTCGGTCTCAATAATGAATATAATTTACTAATGGATATTGACGGCAGGAATCTAAGGATTACGTGCGTACAAATTTTAAGGAGTCTGTGTGTAATATTTTAAATATCAAAAAAATTAAATAATTAAATAACAAATCTCATGACGTAAGTATAATTACATTACAAACCTCAGGGATGTTAGTATAATTACAATGGCTTACAAGTGCTACAACCAAGGGCAAAACAAAAGGTCTGAAAAAAAGGTTTCTGGCCCAGTGGGCGGCCCGATAGCTTGATAACCCAATAGGATAAAGGCAACCCAGCCCACCACGTGGAGGGTAATGGGTAGCCCATTAGTCATGTATGTATATTGTAGGGTGTAAGATTATAATTTCAGGGTTGAGCAGCCAACGGACTAGCTGAACGACCTGAAGAAACCATGTTCTGAAACACATTTTTCGCTTAGTTTACAGTCATTGGTCAAAGCCTGATAGAGCCGGTTTTTACTGGTTTAGGCCCAAAAATGTGGGCCCACCAGGCCGGATTCCAATCCTTACGCGACTTAAAATGGAGATCCTACCTCTGAAGGAGTTGTTTGGATCATTTTATGGAGAGGGATTGGATTATACTTTTGAAACTCGTTTTTGGTTTTGTACATGAGATTAAATAATGTATCATGGTCCTTGTCTAATCTCATGCACACAACATAAATACATATTAGACTCACTGATTGATCAACAAATATTTGTCATGAAATTGACTAACACTCTCCCCCCCCCCGGCCCATTTTGTTGAAACTCATATACATGAATTTTATTTTATTACTAGTTATTTCTCATGCTTGAAAGCATGGAACAGTAAAAAAAATAGTCAACAATAAACATATTTGTATTCATAATTAAAATCAAATCTCAAACATAAAAGAAAAAGAACGAAATTTAAGTATCGATTGTAGTGATAATGGGTGGTAATGGTGGTTATGATAAATGATGATGATTGTGCTGGGTGACAATCATCGTGGTGGTGGTGGTAACCGTGGGTGGCAACAATGATGGTGGTTGACAGTGGTGGTGGTGGGGCGACAACAACGATAATAGTTGGCAGTGGGCGGTGGAGATGGTAGTGGTGGGCGACAACAGGTGTTTTCTAGATGACAATGTGATAGGTATTGGCAAATGCAGTGATGATGATGGTAGATGTGGTGAGGGTGGGTGATAGTGGTTGGCAACGATGGTGGGCGACGACGAGTGGTGGCGGTGGCAATAGAGATGGGGTAATGGGGTGAGGTGGTGGGGCAATAACTGCAATGGTGAGGGTGGCCGCAGAGGTGGTCATGGTGGGGTGGTGGCGACGGTAATAATTATGGTCGTGGGGGTGGAGGTGGGGTGTAAGGGGTGGTGGTGGGACAATGACGATGGTGGTGATGGTAAGGTGGCGACAAGGTGGTGGTGGTAGGGGACAACAATGGTAGTGGTAATGCGGTGACAGTAGAGGTGGTGGTGATGGTGCTAATAGTGAGGATGGTGGTAGTGAGGCGATGGGGGTGGTGGTGGGGGTGGCGACGATAGTGGTGGTGGTGGGGCGGTTCCAAACACTATTTTTTTTAAAATGTTTATGAAAAGTTATAAGTTTTAGAAACAGTTTTAAAAAATCTCCTCCAACACACTCTTATAGCCCTATTTTCTATATTAAATTTGGAGTATTAATATTAGCTGTTGAATTAATTTTAAAATAAAATTTAAAGAGATTTAAACCCTGAA